TCACTTCAGCTGCTTTTATTCTGAAAGAACAGGAGCTGATCACAGTCACTTCAGCTGCTTTTATTCTGAAAGAACAGGAGCTGATCACAGTCACTTCGGCTGCTGTTATTCTGCTGCAATTTTGAGTCATTGTACGTTAACAAACTCCTCCCCCGTGGTTAATCAGACTTCGTGCGTACAATCTAGAAACCTGCACGATGAAAAGTCATTAATAGATTGTTCATTGATGGGTGTGGCCTCGAATCTGGAAAGAGGAAGTGGTTGTATTTTGAGTGAACGTGATCACATTGGACCCAAACTTCACACGTTTGATTAGAGTTGTGGTTTGAAGACAATATACATTGACAGTCATGGCGCCACCTACTGGGGACAAACTGGACGTTTTCCTGATGGTGGCACCAGAGGTGAAAGGTCAACGGCTCACAGAAAACACGAGGATTGATATTTGTTGAAATTGGAACACTGATCAAATAAACGTTTCTGTTCCGACAGTGACCGCACAAACTTTAGTTCCTGTTTGAACTGAGTCAACAGACGCTGCTCGGGTCAAAGGTCACAGTCTGTTCCTGCTGCTCCCCACTTTGAATCTCAGCGTTCGCCCTGAGCCTCTCACAGGTCAAACGTGAACACAGGGAGGAACATGATGAGACTTTCAGAAATGAAGAACTAAAGAGAAAAGGTTTCGGTCTCTGTGAGTCACTATCGACCAGTTTGACTCAGCTGAGTAAATATGTACTTTGCAGATACTGAGGTCAAGGTCTCTCGGAGCGACGCTGGAACATCACACTGAAACTTCTCCTGGAGACTCGTCCCACTGAGCTGAAGCAGGAACTACTTTTCTGTTAACCACCATGTTTTCATCGGTTCTCTCCAGAACCCAGAGGAACCTGATCTTTACCTCTATCCCACACAAATACAGATATATATCTGTATGTAGGTCTATAGATCTGTATCTCAGAACCTGAGACCATCCTGTCACACTTGGTACGAACTGTCGCTTGGACTGGAGGATGGGGTGATTAGAATCAGGAGGTCAAAGGTCACTGTGGCTTTTCCTCTGACTGGCTGCAGTGCAGAGCCGCCTGCAGCAGGGGGCGCTGGCAGCAGTGAGCTGCCTCTCCAGCAGAGAAGAAGAAGCAGGTGGTGGATGAAGGCGGAAGCAGCAGCCGCAGCAGCCGCCGCAGATCTTTGCCAACGATGGCCGCCTCCAGCTCAGAGTCCCACCTGGTGTTGGTGGACGAGCTCCCTTCAGACCCGCTGCTGCACATCTTGTCCTTCCTGAGCTTCCGGGACCTGATCCAGTGAGTCCGTCCGCACCGACACCCGGCTAGCTGCAGGCTAACGGCTAATGCTAACAACAACACATCGAACACGAAGCAACGTCAGAAACGAGCCAGTGACGTTAATGATGAAACTGAAGCTAATGTTGCTACAAACACACCGACTCCCTGCAGCAGCTCGTTAGCTTAGCATGTAGCTCGTGTCTGTGTCCTGACCTCTACAGAAGAGTTTTCTACCGACAGCTGCGACCAGACATGACAGTGATCCAGAGACTGAGACACACGAGAACCTGCTTCACACTGCTTCTGTTTACTGACTGTGTGTGTGTCTGTCTGTCTGTCTGTGTGTCTGTCTGTGTGTGTGTGTGTGTTCGTGTCTGTCTGTCTGTCTGTCTGTGTGTCTGTCTGTGTGTGTGTGTGTGTGTGTGTCCCTCCACAGCTGCAGTTATGTCAGCAGGAGGCTGAACGAACTGTCCAAACACAACCCGCTGTGGAAGAGTCACTGCTCCAAACACTGGCTGCTGACAGAGTGAGTCTGTCCATGAAGACGTCCCAGGAGACGGACTCATCATCACTGAGCTCCATCATCGATCGTTCTGTTTGTCTCTTTGAAGACGTTTAGTTTTATTATGATCTGATCCTGTGTGTGTGTGTGTGTGTGTGTGTGTGTGTGTGTGTGTAGTGCCGACCGGCTGCAGAGTGGACTGTCCTGGTCCTGTCTGTTCAAGCAGAACTACAAA